TCCTATGGAAATGGCATATTCAAGAGTACAGCTGGTAATCCCAGCTATTCAGGAGGCTGAGCCAGGCAGGCAGCTTGAGGCCAGGAGTTCTAGACCAGCCTAGGGAGCATAGTGAGAACTCGTCTCTTTAAAAATCTGTTTTAATTAGCTGGATGTGGTGGCACATGCCTGTAGTGCCAGCTACTCAGGAGGCTGAAGCAAGAGGAGCCCAGGAGTTTGAGGCTGCAGTGAGCTACAATTGTACCACTGCACTCCAGCCTGGGCAACAGAGTGTCAGACCTCATCTCTTAATAAAGAAAAAAAAAAAAAAAAAGAGTATAGCCAGGCTGGCCCTCGAGGTATCTTGGTTTTACATGAAGAAGTGGCAGCTCCCACTTTAGGAGAAACAACCTTCTCCACTCCCTGGAGCTGAGCTGCTGGTTTAATAGGGCCCTTGATTCACAGAGGTTCCTCAAAATGTTTAGGCCTGGTTCACCAATGATTGGGCTGTGTTAAAAGCTGATGTTGCCCACCAAGCAGCAGCAGGCATTTAGCCCCAATGACAACTCCGGATGGCTGACAGCAGTAAGGGTTGAAGCATTTGGTATGCCACTTGGAAGACTAAATTCTGAAAGATGAACACTGAGAAGTGTGGAAACACATCATGGCTGCCTGCCAATGGGACACACTGGACCACTTACATAGGTGCCCACACTAAGGACAGGTACTCTGATAAGACTGGAATCAAACTGCTGATCACACCTGCACCACTGAGACTGCTGCTACAGCCACCTGGATTCATGCAACAGGTGTGGAAACATCACCCTCATGGACTAGGCACAATGTAGCGGACTACATGTTTCTGAGACAGAAGCCACCACTGCATGCCAGGCTTGTGACACCTGCCAAAAGTTGGCCTGCTGGTCTTGCAGTAAAGGAAATCACATTGCAAGGGGCACTGACCCCACCTGCTCCTGGGAGACTGACATTAGGACTTTGTTCCCTTCTCCAGGCTATCATCAGTACCTTGCTACTGCTGCTACTTTTTCAGATGACAGTGTTGATGCTGCTTTTCCAGTCCAATCATCTGACTCTGTGTATACCACTGTGGCCTTTGAAACTAAACTCTGCCGGCTGGGCGCGGTGGTTCACGCTTGTGATCCCTGCATTTTGGGAGGCCAAGGTGGGAGGATCACCTAAGGCCAGGAGTTTGAGACCAGCCTAGCCAATGTGGTGAAACACTGTCTTTTTTTAATTAAAAAATTTTATTTTTTTTTTAAAAAGAGAGAAGGAAAAAAAAAAAAAAAGAAGAAACTAAACTCTGCCAGGTTTTCTGCTTTCCAAGCCATCTACAGTCTGACATTGGCATATCTTTTTGTCACAATGGCCACCCAACAACGTCAACAGTCAATAGCCAAGGTATTCAATGGACATCCCACACTCCCTACTGTCCACAGGCATGATATTGTCAAGTACTGAATAGTTCCCTCAAAGATCAACTCAAAAGATGTTTGATTCTATGTTTTTAACCTCCTCCTGCTCAACACACCTTAGTGAAACAGTTTGGTCACCTAAGGCAGCCATTCTCAGAAAGGGTTCATCTCCTTTTGGCTACCAACTGTATAATGATCAGAAAAAAAGGGGTGGAGTGGTAATAAAAACCTATTTTGAAAATTTAAGATTCTCCCCTGATCATTTCTGGCCATGATTCATCTTTCTTTCCCCTTGCAGAAAGCCCAGATCAGCTGGGAGGGGAAGGGTGTCTATGTAAGTCAGACTTAACTCTAGTTCAGTCACTAGATTGTCTTGTTGGAATGGCCTGGTGCTAGAGCATAAAGTTAATGATCATTTGGTTGGGTACGTGCTTTTAAAGTCACCCTACAGTGACACACATGTGTCAAGGTAGAAGACATAATGGGCCTCTGTCAATTTTCTAACAATGTCCTTGGATATTAAAAGGTCTGGATTGGATACTAGTAGGGGATAAAGAAAAGGTGAAGTTATAGGTACCAGGGCAGGATATACTAATTATGTAGAAATGAAAGGAAAGAAACAATCCTAGCCTCTAGGGAAGGAACACCTTAGTCCCCTGAAGATGTAAAGAGAAGGGAAACAGTGTTCTCTTTGTCCCCTAGGTCCAGCACCAAAACCTGGCAAACATTCATATGGTCCACCTAAGTCAAGCAGTAACTGTAGCTGGCAATCTGACCTGTGGCTGAGTTTATCATCGCACCATGAAAACAGAAAAGCTTTATCTAGTAGGTCAGCATGAAAAAGAAAAAAGAAAATCAAAAAAGAAAACAAAAACTCATGTGGACATGGCCAGTCTTGAACTATCCCCATGTGCCTGATGACATCAACACCAACTCCCAACTCCCACAGACCTCCCTCACAGGTGTGCAAATCTAGGATCAGCATAACCTTCTATTAGTGCGGCTAACAGAAATCACGTGCTTCTCCTGAGATCCGAGGGGCGTTACTTAGGTTATGCCTCGTCTCGTGATGGAGGCTGCAGCTATTCTGTGACACTGCCCATGTGGTTTAAACCACTGTAATAGTAATCGAATTTGATGGTGATGCAAATAAAAATCTAACAAAAAACCCTGGAGCGGTCTGCACTCCCTCAAGTAATGTTAGTGTGTAAGGAAGAATGGGCCACAAAATATCTTTCCATTAATCATGGTAGTTACTTTTTTTTTTTTTTTTTAAATGAGATGAAGTCTCACTTTGTTGCCCAGGCTGGAGTGCAATGACGCCATCTCAGCTCACTGCAAACTCCACCTACCAAATTCAAGTGATCCTCCCACCCCAGCCTCCCTAGTAGCTAGCATTACAGGCACCTGCCATCATGCCCAGCTAATTTTTGTATTTTTAGTTGAGACGGGGTTTCTCCATGTAGGCCAAGCTGGTCTCAAACTCCTGACGTCAGGTGATTTCACCCACCTCAGCCTCTCAAAGTCCTGGGATTACAGGTATGAGCCACCATGCCCAGCCTGGTAGTTACTTTTTTAAAAAATTTTTACAAGGGTAGGGGGATATTGTAATTACTGGTAATGACACCAAATATCAGAGATCAAGCTGAACTCCTGTGCAAAGGTCGCAATGGTTATAGACTGGTCTTACACTGCAGCCCTGCTGTCTGATATAAGATTCCTAGGTACCCCCAGGACTTATTCACAAGTGGCTGAATCCAGGACCCTAGAGAGCATGGTTGAGGTAAATACTGCAGGCTGCCCTTATTCTGCTGCTTAAAGTCCCACTGACAACAACCTTAATTAAATGCTGTAAGGGACAAATTGAAAAGATTTGGTCCCTGCCTCTGTCAGCCAGGTTAATCCCAGTAGCCAAGGGAATTGCATATTCTCGTGAAAATCTGCTAGAAGCCAAGACTGTAGAATCCAGGGGTCACAGAGGCTGATAGATTGCTCATACATCCACACATCTTTCTGGGTATACTAAGAATGCAAGGCTCTGACTACATTTCACCTGGGCCATTTCTCAGGGTTTCGTCTGCAGCAAGCAACCTTGAGAAGAGGTAGTGTCTCCATCCAGGACAAAGAGGAGGTCTGGTACTGCCTTCTATAAAACAGATTTCCCAAGCCTGTCGTTCCTTCACTTGGATGCAACCCACTGCCTGTGCAGTCATCCATTTGAGCCCACAGCGTCACCCTGTGGGAGTTGGATGGCAAGGGAAACCGCTTCTAACATGCATCCTATTTCCTGTAATAAAGTCCTCTGTCTCTAATCCAGCAGTCACGACACAGTAACAGGCTAATTTATTAAATTTTAAATAAGGCAAGTCTGACAGTCTGTTTTCTTGCTTGCTTTTTGCTCAAAGTTCCATTTCTGACACCCAGTAACTGCATACTACAAACCAAAACCTTTAAGAAAACAAATCTCTTCTCACAGGAAGAGTTCTGTCTCTTAAAATCCTTTGTCACCATACCTGAACACCCAAACTGGCCTTGCCCTATAGGATAAAGGTACACAGCTAGGTATTTCCCCCCTCTGTTGATGCCTGAAAGTCCTGCAGATATACCAACTCAGGCCTTAGAAAATTCTGTACCCACGAATTTGGAATTCTCTTTGCAAAGTTTAAAGCACCTTTAAAAGCCACAATTTGAAAGCCAGGTGAGGCACTGCAGCATAACCTGGAAGTCATGACAGCTGTTTCCTCAGATCCTAAGCCTCCCACCGCCCACCCTCCACCAGAGCAAACCGATCCCCCTCCCAGAGACTGCACCTGGTCAGAAGCCAACCCACCCGATCCTTCAAGTTCCCCTCTACCGCGGCCCCGCCCCTCCTCGTAAATCCCGCCCCCTCCGTGCCCTCGGGCCAATCAGAGGGCGGCGTCCGTTCCCGGTTGCCATGGGTGCCCACCGAGTCCATCCCGTCACTCACCAGATGTGCGGCGGCTCGTCTAGGCGATGGAAGCGGGTGGCGAAGGACAGCAGCGTCACCAGGGCCAGCAGGGCCCACCGGCTAGCCGTCTCGAAGCGCCGCGAGCCCCAAGCAAGCCCTTTGGGGTTTCGCGCCGCAGCCCTGGCGGCCACGTCCCGGCCCGCGGCCCTAGAAGCCTGGGGCCCACAGCGGCCCCTCCGGGGACGCAGCTCGGACTCTGCCAGGCCTCCACCCGTGGCCGGTGGCATCTTCCCCCTCCTTCGGATTGCCCTCTGGCCCGGAGGCACACTCTGTCGGACCAGCCTCCCCGCCAAGGGATCACAGGAGGGCAGTTCGGGGTACCCCGGAAAATGCAGCTCCCTCCGCCGGCAGTGGAGCGCGGGGCCCGACGCTCGGGGCGGCGCGGGTAGCGTGGTCGCGGCCTGGGCCGCTAGGAGGCGGCCAGAGGCGCAGAGCATGTCGGGATCGGGAGGGCCGGCCGGCCAGGGGGGACGGGGCAGGAGGGGACGGGCTCAGGGAACTGCAATTCCCAGCAGCCCCAGGGCACGGGGCATGGCGGGAGGGCTGGGCAAGCCAGAGGCGACCGGAAGTATCATTCTAGTCCAGCTCCTCGCTTTACCCGGACGAAAGCCTCGAGCCTAACTCGTCGAGTCTCACTGGGCCTTAGTCGTCGGAGAGTCCCAAGCGCGAAGTTTCACGGCCTGGAGGAGGGGTCGCGCGAAGTGCCAGATGCAGGCGGGGAAGGTCTGTGCTGCGCATCCGGGTGGAGGGAAGCTGGTTAGACACCCGGAGACCCTAGGGGGATGGGTCAGAGGTGAACCGCTCCGCCCTCCCGGCGCCGACAACCACTCCCGCCGTGCAGTGCGCCGCGCCGGGCACGCTCTGCGCCTGCGCGTTGCGCGTTGCGCACTGCCCGCTGGGGCTCGTAGTCCCGGGAGGGTTGGGCCAGAGGAGGCGGCTCTGGTGTGGCGTTTGGAGCAGGGTGGAGTCGCTGTCCCGTCGCGCTTCACTGCTGCCCTGCCCTCCCTGCTTGCCGTAATAGACCCCTCCACTAGGGCTTGCAAATGTCGCCCCACGCCTCCCAGTTTCTCGCAGCCATTCATGCTCCTCTCTCGGCCCTAGCAGAAGATGGCCTTCCAGTAATGCTTGAGGGAGGAGAGGCGGTCATGACAATCACCTGGGGAGCTTCACGGCTTTCACATGCCCTTCCCAGTGCCCGGTCCCAAGACGCTCTGTTCATCTCTGGTGGAAGGGACCTTAGAATCTGCATGTTTTTACAAGCGGCCCAGATAGGTCTTATGCGCCGTAAAGTTTTATGGCACTAAGGAAGGTGGCACATCAGATGGGACTTTGCGTCATGTAGATAATGTATAGTCCTCCCTCTTCCAAATGGGATTTTAGGAATCTTTCTCAAGTCGTGTGTAAGACATGGTTTAAAAATAAAATGTGCTAAAGTAATCAGAATGCATATTTGAGTTGGAAACAAAAGTCTTCCAGGAGTACTGATGAGATGGATACTTGGGCTTAAAATTTAGCTCTACAAGTGCAGAAAGGAACAGGGGATGGTCTACATAGTTATCACTGGTAAGAGAAAGCAGAAATTGCCTAAGAGATTTCAGGTTTCCTGCTTGTGGGTCGTGATGGAGGGCAGCGGCATTTACCATGCTCTGGTCACCCGTAGTACAGATCCAAAGGTGTAACATTAGAATGCCATTAGGTAAGGCATTCTTCAGGGATTCTAAGCTAATTAATGTCTGCCACTCTCTAGTGGTCACTAGCAGTCCCTGTCCCTTGGCCCCAGGAGTCCCTGTAGCCTGGCTAGGTAAGGAAAGGGGGCTGCATCTCCAAATAAGGAAGATCCAGTTGTGGCTACCCAACTCCTCCTCTTTGAAAGACCCTTTCTGCCCATCACCTGCTTTCTGTGCCAGGACCATCTTTACTTTCTCCACAAAAGTTGCCTTCAGGACAGCCTGGAACTCCTGGGCTTGGGAACCACCTTGGAAGGGCCTAGATTCCCCCTTGTACCCTTGTCCATCCAGCAGACTGAGTTGGTAGTACAGAGATGGTGAAAGCAGTTTCATTGAGCAGCTTAATGTGCTGGGGGTGGCAGAGGGGAGAGGGAGCTTTGGTGAAACATCTGTAGTCAGAGGGGTAGTAAACAGGGGATCTGAGAAATTCTGTCAAGTTCTCCCCCATCCATAGGGATACACGTGTGTTGGTGGGAAGATTCATGAGTGCTAACCACTGGTGAGTCTTTCTTGGGCTCCACTTTGAAATGCTGGCTACCCAAGAAGTACCAGAGAAATTAGCTTTGAGGCCCTTAAACTTTGGAATAGAGACTGAATACCCAGCTGCCCCCAGGAGGCCAAAAATAATAAAAGTGAGAAGAATGGGTCAGATATGGGCTATAGAGACCTAAGAGGGCATACCCTGGCTGATGGGGGCCATCAGTCTGTTCCCATCAATTGCCACTATTTAGGAACCCAAATCTACTGTCTCCAGACGTTTTTTTTTTTAAGATAGAATCTCACTCTGTCATCCAGGCTGGAGTACAGTAGCTCGATCTTGGCTTACTAGAAACTCTGCCTTCTGGGTTGGAGCAATTCTCCTGCCTCAGCCTCCCAAGTAGCTGGAGTTACAGCTGTGTGCCACCACGCCTGGCTAATTTTGGTATTTTTAGTAAAGACGGGGTTTCACCATGGTGGCCGGGCTGGTCTTGAACTCCTGACCTCAGGTGATCCACCCACCTCGGCCTCCCAGAGTGCTGGGATTACAGGTGTGAGCCACCATGCCCAGCCTGTCTCCAGATTTTTAAAGAAAAAAACAAATAGGTGTTATATATAAAATGTCATGATTTTTTTTAACTTTATTTATTTTGAGATGGAGTCTTGCTCTGTCCCCCAGGCTGGGGGGTAGTGGCACAGTCTTGGCTCACTGTAACCTCCGCCTCCTGGGTTCAAGTGATTCTCATGCCTCAGCCTCCTGAGTAGCTGGGACTACAGGAGCATGCCACCATGCGTGGCTGATTCTTGTATTTTCAGTAGAGGTGAGTTTCGCCATCTTGGCCAGGCTGGTCTCGAACTCCTGGCCTCAGGTGATTTGCTGGTCTCAGCCTCTCAAAGTGCTGGGATTATAGGCATGAGCTATCACACTAGAACAAAATGTCCTGATTTTTAAACATTGGCAACTATGTTACCATTGAAACATTTTAAACTACTGTGTTGAGCAGACAGAAATTCTGAGGGCCAGATAGGTCCCCAGTGTGCTGCCAGCTTTTGACCTCACCTTTGGGGTAAGTGAGCATATCTGCCAGCTGTTTTTATGGAGCCAGCTGAGATCCTGGAGGACTGCTAGGGGGTGGGGTTGAAGGAGATAGGCACCAAAGCATAAAAAAATTAGAATTTCTGGTCTTTCTGCACTGCTAGAAGGAATCCCTGCCATCATTTTAAGGCAACTCTTTGTTTTACAAGCCAAAGATTAGAAGCAGAGGCTTGTCCAAGGTCATGCAGAGCTGGTTCCTGTACCAGGTCCAGGCTCCAAATGCCAGCTCGCAGCCCACTCTACCACTCAAACCACTGCATCAAAACCAGGCCACACTCTGTGCCCAGGACACCAAACCTGGCCCCAGCAGGAGCATAAGAAATTTCCCGCAAGTTGGAAATAAATGCCTTTTTTTTTTTTGGTTTGTTTGAGACAGAGTCTTGCAGTGTTACCCAGGCTGGAGTGCAGTGGTGTGATCTTGGCCTACTGCAACCTCCACCTCCCAGGTTCAAGCTATTCTCCTGCCTCAGCCTCCCGAATAGTTGGGATTACAGGCACCCACTACCATGCCCAGCTGATGTGTGTGTGTGTGTGTGTGTGTGTGTGTGTGTCTGTCTGTCTGTGTGTTTTCAGTAGAGACAGCGTTTCACCATGTTGGGCTGGTCTCAAACTCCCGACCTCAAGTGATCCGCCCATCTCAGCCTCCCAGAGTGCTAGGATTATGGGCGTGAGCCACTGTGCCTGGCCAGAAATGCCCTTTCTGACCAGAGTCAAAGTTCCCCCAACTCCTGGGTAGTCCAGCTTCCCCATTGGCTCCTGAAATCCACCCCTTTAGGTTTCCTTTCCCTGCTCAGAAGCTTTGCCAGAGGGGACATTCCCTGGAAGGCTGAGGGTCACCACGCACCATGAGCGAGTCTGGCAAGGTAAGGAAGGCACTCGCAGTCTAGCTGCACCTTTGGGGGCCTCTTGGACCTCAGGAGCTCAAACCAGCACAATTTTGGAGCCAAGGGACCTCACAAGACTGTCAGAGAGCCCGGAGTCTGGCCTGCGTTGCCCAGATGCAGGCCTGAGGGAGGAGGCCTGGCAGGGTAGGAAGAAACCATTGGCTCCTCTCCAGCAGGCTCCTGAAGCTGGAGCCCACCCGGCATGGGTTAACACGCATCTTCATCTTCTTTCTCCTCAGCCCATCCTCTATTCCTATTTCCGAAGCTCCTGCTCATGGAGAGTTCGAATTGGTAAGAGCTATGCCTCTGCCAGGCCGAGTGCTGGAGTCGGGTGGGCTGGGGTGGAGAAGCCCAGGTGCAAAGCTGGCCAGGGATAGAAGGGGTACTCTGTCAGAAAGGACCTCACCCCCAGCAACCAGCATCCCCCATCTCCTAGAACCCCCATCCCTGAATGTCATCTCCACCCCAGACATGCAGGGTGAGGGTGGGAGGAGGGGGGTTGTTTTTTCTCTTGGGACTGATACTTCTCCCAACACTGCTCTCCAAAGCCCCTTGGCAACCATGTTTAAAGCAGGGTCACAAAATCCAGATGCCCCTGGTAACTGGCAGGGGAACAGCTGGCCTCCTTCAGTTCTTATCTTATTTGAACTGACAAAGCAAACAGAATGAGTCAGCGTCAGCGTCAGCGTGAGAGGCTTTAGAAAAGCAGAAACAAAGGCCTTGTGGCTAGTCCTTGTTTGCCCTTCCCTCCCTCGGCTTAACACAACCTTCGGCAAAGGTCATCATCAAAGCCGCTCGCTCGTACTGCGGAAAAGCTCTGTGCTGAGTGCTTTTGTGTGCAGGATTCCATTTAAACCTCGACAACCCTGGGAGGGAGGTACTATTACTGTCCCCGTTGTGTAGAGGAGGAAACTGAGGCACAAAAAAACTGAGGCAAGATTAAGTAACTTACCCAAGATCATTCAGCTACTAAGAGGCAGAACTGGAATTTGAACCACATAGTCTGGCTCCAGAGGCCCATTAAGTTGCTTGCCTGAGGCCACACAGCAAATAACTATGATGAAATTTGAACCCAAGAAGCTAGCCTCCAGAGTGTGGAGGCAAAACCAACTTCTGTGACCCCTCCTCTGTCCCGCAGTCACTTGGTATTTGCTGGGATCAGTAAGCAAGAGCACTGGGTGCCAAGAGAAACTTCCTCCAAGATTAACCCATCCCTAGGCGCCAGTGCCGCTGCCCTGGCTCAGCCAGAAGCCGGAGCAATATAGGTGCTGTCTGTAGGGCCTGCGTGCTTTGGCCTTTCCTCCTCGGCCCCAAACACTGTCACTCTCCGGCATGGAGCTGACCAGCGCTAGGACGAGCCTGGTGTTGCCCAGGCTCTTTACACCACGACATGTCTGGTCCTCCTCCCCTCGTGCCTGTGCCCCTGCCTGAGATCGGCCATCACCATACTCGAATGCCCAAGTGTGCATGCATAATACACACACATGCACACACACGCAATCTGCTCCACTAGTGTTGACCCACCCAAGTTTTTTTTACCCTCAGCTTGCCAGGGGAAATTATCAAAAGGGATGGAGAGGAAATCTGAAGTCACAGCAAATGCTCCGAGGCCACCAAAGAGCCCAGTGTCTGTCTGGAATCTCTAGTAAACAGCCCTGAGAACAGAGAGAATAGATTGGAGGAGTTTCCTCTCCAGCAGAACAAGACTGCCGCTCTGTGTGTGCTATGGGTGGTCACCTGAGCTCCCTCCCTTGGCCCTTAGATGCCTTCTTGAAGGAGTAATTGCATGTCTCCAACCAAGACACTGGTCATCACTGTTTAAGGCCTGGGGCAGGGGCAGGGGGCAGAGGTAGACACGACACACCCTTGCTGTCCTCCAGGAGCCCACAGAGTGGCAGGGCATACACCTTTATCACCACCCAGGGGGCATGATGGCCCCATTGCGGGGTCCATATCGTGAGGTCTCTGAGAGTTCAGGGGTGAGAGAGGCAGAGCATTGAGCATCTGGGGTAGGGAGTGGGTGGTGACAAAGAAAGCTGGAGAGAAGGGGATAGTGCCAAGCTGAGCCTTGACCACCCAGAAGTGTAGCGACGCCTTCTCCTCTTTGGCCTTATGTCACCCTAGAAGGGCTCTTTCCTTAGGAGTTTGGCCAGAGGCTGTTCCCTGACTGCCATCTGCGGTCTCTCCTAGCTCTGGCCTTGAAAGGCATTGCCTATGAGACGGTGCCCGTCAATCTCATAAAGGATGGGGGCCAACAGGTAAGAAGGCTGTGCCCAGACCATGATGTAGGAATTGGAGGCCTTGAAGAGGCACCAGGCAGGGGAAGAAGGGGAGGCTCTGCCCCCGAGAAGTGAACCTGTATCCTGTGGACCGTCACTGCAGGAGGCTGCTGGCTCTCCCTTGTGGGACAAGGTAGCAAGCTGTGCAGTAGTAGGAGGCCAAGGAAGGGCCCAGGTCAAGGCTTGGTACCCTAGCCTGGGCTCCCCAGTCCCTGACCCTGGAAGGGTGGATGGCAAGTGGGTTCCCACCCCATACTGGGTCCTCTGGATGGCTGACTAGGGTAGGAGCCGCCGTGGTGGCCACAGTGTAAGATGCAGGGAAAGCCCATAACCAGGCTGTTAGGATGAAGCCTGTGGCTCAGCAGCTGCTGGGGTTTGGTAAACTGCATGGATCCCCCGGGGATTAACCTGGGCCTAGGAGCTAGGGCCTTCCTAGGGAAGGGAGAGGGGGCTGGGCAGCAGGCCTGGAGTTCTCCTGCTTGCTTGGTTCTCCTCTGGCCAACTCAGGCCAGGCCATCCAGTCTACCAGGGCCTTGTCTCCACAGTTCTCTAAGGACTTCCAGGCACTGAATCCCATGAAGCAGGTGCCAACCTTGAAGATTGATGGAATCACCATTCATCAGTCAGTGAGTGCAGGTCCTGGGGGAGGGTCCTCGTGAGAGCAGTGTCTTGAATGAGAGTGCCTGACATCTCTTCCTCACCTGTGTATGGGCAAGCACGTAAGAGGCCTAGCACATAATAGGGGCTCAATACAAGACTCGTGGGGAGGGTGGGAGGTTGTTAGGAAAATAAGAGAAGACTCAGGCATATGAGGAACCAAGTTCTGCAGGATAAGGTCCACAAAGGCTACACAGGGCTTGAGCTGAGAAGGAGGAGGGGAAAGAGCATAGTGATGGTACTAGAAGAGGAGGAGGAGTTTGCTGGCCCTGTCCCCTCTGGTCCAGGGGTCCTGGGCCCTCTCCCTGCCTCACTGCTCCCCTCTGGACAGCTGGCCATCATTGAGTACCTAGAGGAGACGCGTCCCACTCCACGACTTCTGCCTCAGGACCCAAAGAAGAGGGCCAGTGTGCGAATGATTTCTGACCTCATCACTAGTGGCATCCAGCCCCTGCAGGTGTGGCACTTGTACACTTGCAACCTTGCACACTTCACGCACTCTTACACTTACACACTCATACATTGGCTGAGAGCTGCCCAGTGTGGCGGCAGGGGTGTCAAGGGAGAGCCAGGGATTCTTAGGGGCTTTGACTTGGACCATGTGAAAGAAGGGGCAGAGATCTCAATCTCAGAAATCAGCCAGTGGGTCCCCAACTGCTTTCCGAGAAGCTCCAGATTTCCAAGGACACATGTACATGTGCTCAAGGTGGGGAAAGGGCCAGGGTGGCAGGGGAGAGACTGGGTGGGCTTCTGTCCAGGCCTCCTGCCTTTAACCAGAGTGGCTTTCCTTTCATCTGTGCTATCTCAGTCATACCCTGGGATGCTCGGAAGATTTTTTAAGTTTCACTGTTGGCCGGGTGCTGTGGCTCATGCCTGTAATCCCAGTACTTTGGGAGGCTGAGGCTGGTGGATCATAAGATCAGGAGTTTGAGACCGGTCTGACCAACATGGTGAAACCCCCTCTCTACAAAATACAAAAATTAGCTGAGCGTGGTGGCGTGCGTCTATCATCCCAGCTACTCAGGAGGCTGAGGCAGGAGAATCGCTTGAACCCGGGAGGCAGAGGTTGCAGTGAGCCAAGATTGCACCACTGCACTCCAGCCTGAGCAACAGAGTAAGACTCAGTCTCAAAAAAAAAGAAAAAAAAAAAGTTTCCCTGTTAAAACAGACAAGTATTAAAAACAGTTCATCTGTCCCAACTCCTACTTTGTGAATGAGGAAATAGCCCCAGAAGGGTGGAATGACTTTGCTGAGTCCCATAGCTAGGTGTAGCAGAGTGGAGACTCAGCCAGGACCCCTGCACACCTGTGGCCCCCACCCCCATGTCATCTTGTTATTTTAACAAAGGATGTTGGAGCCAACAGACATCTCCATTTTACAATGAGAAGGCAGAGGTAAAATGGCTCTGGGGTGCCAAGATGGAGCCAGGGTGGAAATCTCTGGAAGCCAGTCGTGTGTGCCTCCCTCATCCCAGCCCCACCCTTGGTCACACTCCCTCTCCTCACAAGGGACCATGCAAGGGAGAAGAGAGGGAAATGGGCCTTGGGTTGTGGGCACACCTGCCACAGCCATGGCCACATCTTGTGTCGCATGAATAGGCAGGGATTCATGCACATCTCTGATGGAATCACGTGGCTTTTAGAGGCCACTGGGGCAGCCTGGGAAGGTGACTGCTGGGATGGCTACCTCCCGCCAACCTCAGGGCCCTGGTTGAAGGAAGGAGCTCATGGAGCCTGGGGGAGAAGGAATAGATGTCCAGCCAGGGGCAGATGGGAAGTGAACTTTCCCTGAGGGGGTTTGGCCAAGTGGCAGCCGCCACCCAACACTCAGAACAATCACAGATTTTCTTTGGGCTGCACAGAACCTGTCTATCCTGAAGAAAGTAGGAGAGGTTTCCAAGGACTTGAGAGAGGAGACGCAGCTGACCTGGGCCCAGAATGCCATCACTTCTGGCTTTAACGGTGAGTCCACATGCCTGTGAGCTGTCCCACTGGGGCAGCCTGTGAAGGTGACTGCTGGGATGGCTACCTCCCTCCAACCTCAGTGGCCTCTCAGAGGTCTGACCCTTGCACACAAGGGCCTGGGTATCTGAACCAGCCTCCTGGGCTGCTTTGGTCTTGATAGTTCCATGGATGAGAGCAGGGCTGGGAAGGCGATAGGCTGGGTGGGTATCCAGACCTTACCTCCAGCGTTTTCGGGAACCTCAGTCCCTGAACCCACAGCTCTTCATAGCTGGGTGGCCCAACTTCTGCTTCATTACCCACTCCAGCCGGGAAACCAAGGCCAGCACAGCGCCAGCCATCAGAGTGAGAGCTGCCACTACAGCCAGTGGCTGGGTTTGCGCACTCAAGTGGGGGAAATGGTGGCTGGATGTGTGGAGCCTTAGGAAACAGAAGCTTGTTCCTAGCAGCTCTCTCCAGACCCAGCTGCCACATTCTCTCTAGCAGCCGTGCCCAGTCTATCATTCAGATGGGCACCCATTTCATAACTATGGAGGCCAAGGCCCAGAAAGCTTCATGTCCCCTTCCTCTGCCCAGAATAAGATGTCCTTGTGGCCTCCCCACAGCCCTGGAGCAGATCCTGCAGAGCACAGCAGGCAAATACTGTGTAGGAGATGAGGTAAGCTGTCCCCAGGCCCAGCCACAGGGGCCACCTCCCTCATGCTGGGACTCTCTTCCACTGGGACTTAGCCATCGTCCCCACCCTGAGGCAGGTGGGGCTCAGAACTTCCTGAGCGGGGAGCTTTCTGCAGGGGGGAGCTCTGTGCCATGGGGCACTCCTCAGCTCAGTCCCACTAAACCATCTCAAGAGGCAGTTATTCAAGGTAGAAGACTGCGCTGTGAGAGGATGAGGCAGGCCAGGCATCAGTGGAGGGATTGTGCTAGATGATGTCTGTGCAATCAAGGCAATCCATCTTTTCTGGCCTTCTCAACCCACAGAGCTGGTCGTCAGTGCAACTGGGGCATGGCCTGGGAGGGCATTTCAGCTCTGGGAAACACCCAGGCAGGCTTGTGGCAGACAAGAATGGGGGGCAGCATGGGTGAAAGAGCCAAAGCAGATTTTTGGCACCCCCCGGTAGAATCACAGTGGACACACCCAGTCTAGCCAGTGAGTCTAGGGTACTCACCCTGATGAGAACCCACCTGACCCTCTTTCAGGTGACCATGGCTGATCTGTGCTTGGTGCCTCAGGTGGCAAATGCTGAGAGGTAAGAGAGCCCCGCCAACCTCCCTTCTCCTGGCTCTGCCCACAGTCAGGCCCCCACTCAGCTGGTGGGGTAGCATCTCATTCGGACTCTTCCCCAACCAGCCAAGGAGCCTACCATGCCAGGCCACTCAGCCACTTTGGCCTGGAAGACAGCAAAAGAAATTGGGGCAGTGTTCCCACCATGCCCATTGAAGCACAGATCCTGTATGGATAGCTCCTGCTCCTGGGAGGAGCTGGCTCACCTGGTGGACCCTCAAGAGCCTGATGTCCTCAGATGTGATGTGTCTGTGCCCAGCAGTGAGCTCTACCTCTGCTTCCCTCCATCAACCCTTCAATAGGGCACGAATGAGCCCTATTGAAAGCATGGAACCCAGCTCTGTCTTAAACAAGGTAGAGCCCTGGCCTTCAGTTTAATTCCAGTGAGCCCTATCTGGAAAGCATCTTGCTAGGCATTAGGGATATGGAAACATGGCACATTCCCTGCCCCCAAGAAGTTTCCATATCCCTATCTCTAATGGGGGAAGAAAGACTCTACATATAAATGCCTAGCACTGCGCCTTACACATAGTAGGTTCTCAAAGAAATAGGAACAGTAGGGCCGGGCACCGTCATTCACGCCTGTAATCCCAGCACTTTGGGAGGCCGAGGTGGGAAGATCACAAGGTCAGGAGATCGAGATGATCCTGGCTAACATGGTGAAACCCCATCTCTACTAAAAATACCAAAAAAAGTAGCCAGGTGTGGTGGCACACACCTGTAATCCCAGCTACTCGGGAGGCTGAGGCAGGAGAATCACTTGAACCTGGGAGGCGGAGGTTACAGTGAGCTGAGATCACACCACTGCACTACGGCCTGGGCAACAGAGCGAGACACTGTTTCAAAAAAAAAAAAAAAAAAAAAAAAAAAAAAACAAAAGAAAAAAAAAAAAAAAAATTTTAAAAAAAAAAAAAAAAAAAAAAAAAGAAAGAAAGAAAAAAAGAAATAGGAACAGTAGGTAACAGATGCTAAATGATACTGCCCAAGATCTACCCATCCTCTATGAGTAAGGGCTGCCCCATTGTCCTTTCCTGGACAGCTCCTGGGACCTCATCCTGCCCTGCCTCTCTGCTCCCTCACTGCCCCCAGGGCAGTCTCCCTGTGTCCCTGAAAAGCTTGGCTTAGCGGGTGTTTCTCTACTACAGATTCAAGGTGGATTTCACACCCTACCCCACCATCAGCTGTATCAACAAGAGGCTGCTGGCCTTGGAAGCCTTCCAGGTGTCTCACCCTTGCCGGCAGCCAGATACACCCACTGAGCTGAGGGCCTAGCTCCCAAATCCTGCCCCATTAGCACAGGGGCACAGGGGCAGAAGCTGGGTGAACTGAAGAGGCCTGGAAACAAGTGCGTCTTCATTGAGAGGACAGAAGACTCAAAGTCTAGCCCTGGATCTGCCTTCCTGCTGAACCCAGTTCCACCTCAGTCCCCTCATCTGTCAAATGCATGTGGGGTGGGGCAGGGAGATACTGGGAGCAGGGTGGACAGAAATATTACCTGCTATCTATGTGACGGCGGGGGGTCGTGAAGCTGAGATGAAAATGTGGATTAAAATGCCTGGCATGTTTACCATAGGACCACAGGGAAGCCTGAGTGTGTTTTCTCATCCCCTTTTGTTGTGTCTGATTCCAAAGAATGCCCACACTCAAATCTGGCCTGAATTAAACTGAAGGCCAGGGCTCTACCTTGTTTGTCTAAGACTGAGCTGGTTCCCAGAAGATGAACACTGTCCCTAGCTGGAATCCCCTGTGTCTGGACCAGTAGAAGAAGTCAGTCAGCTGCTTGCCTACCCTGTGGCAGGCCTGGCCCATGGGACCTAAGGGCAATGAAGAGAAATATGCCCAAAAGCCTGCCTGAAAGAATCAGACAAGATCCAGGGAGATAACAGATAGAAGCAGGAAAGCATCTAGTGACTAGCTGAGTTCCCAGGGCTAGAATGGTACCGTTGTTAAATGTTCCACTCCGGGCTGGGTGCAGTGGCTCATGCCTGTAATCCCAGCACTTTGGGAGGCTGAGACAGGTGGATCACTTGAGGTCAGGAGTTCAAGGCCAGCCTGACCAACATGGAGAAACCCCGTATCTACTAAATATACAAAATTAGCCAGGTGTGGTGGTGTGAGCCGTAATCCCAGCTACTCAGGAGGCTGAGGTAGGAGAATCACCAGAACCCGGGAGGCAGAGGTTGCAGTGAACCGAGATGGCACCGTTGCACTCCAGCCTGGGCAATGAGCAAAACTCTGTCTCAAAAGAAAAGAAAAAAAATTAGCCAGTGTGGTGGCAGATGCCTGGAGTCCCAGCTACTCAGGGAGCTGAGGTAGAAGAATCACCTAAACTCGCGAGGTGGAAGTTGCAGTGAGCCGATATCATGCCAGTGCATGTCAGACTGAGTGACAGAGAGAGATTCTGTTTCAAAATTTAAAAAAAAAAATTCCACTCCAGCTCTGAGAGGCGAGTTGGTCGTCTCAACCCAGTTCCTTGTCTTCAGGGCCAGCGTTCTCCAGACCAGTCCCAGGATTAGGCACTCCAGGTAAATCCACTCCTGAGTGTTCCTGGGAATGGGAGGCAGACTCCCCCATGGACAGTGTGAGCAGCTACTGACCAGGCCAGCTCAGGAGATCAAGCAGGTACAATGTACCATGGGCTGCTCCAGAGGGAGCAAGTTCCCATGCTTGGCAGTGTGCGGGCAGAACCAGGACCAACCACCTCTGGGCAGAGATGGCATAGGGAGATTGGGGTAGCTTCTGGGGATGAAATGAGATGACTTTTTAGGACCTATACCTCCTAAAGGCCCCACCTCTTAATACTGTTGGATTGGAGATTAAGTTTCAACATGAATTTTGGAGGGGACATAAACATTTAAATCCAGGCCAGGCGCAGTGGCTCACCCCTGTAATCCTAGCACTTTGGGAGGCCAAAGCAGGTAGATCACGAGGTCAGGAGTTCAAGACCAGTCTGGCCAACATAGTGAAACCCCATCTCTACTAAAAATACAAAAAAAAATTAGCCAGGTGTGGTGGCGCATGCCTGTAGTTCCAGCTGCTTAGGAGGCTGAGGCAGGAGAATTGCTTGAACCCAGGTAGTGGAGGTTGCAGTGAGCAGAGATTGTGCCACTGCACTCCAGTTTGGGCAACAGAGCAAGACTCCAACTCAAAAAAAAAAAAAGGGAGAGAACATTTAAATCATAGCAAAGACCATCGCTTTTTACAGGACATTTTCCAGTAGGGGCTTAAGTCAAGTCCCTCCTTTCCATATCAGCTCTCAGTTCCGTGCACACTCATCATACACCTGGTCCTGACATGCTAGAGGCCGCAGGGAGACCTGACACACGGACTTCCCAGAGTGGGAGTGGCCACTGTGAAGGATGAACAATGACGGAGTGGCCTGATACTGGTAATTCCAACTATGTGGAAGTAACAACTCCCCAGAAATACTTCAGAAGGAGGAAAGCAGTAAGGAGGTGCTGTCAGGAAACACCTGAGAACACAGCAAAAATTATAGGCTTGTGTTCCTCAGAAATTTTACATATCCATTAAGGAAAGTGGCAAACTCACTGGATAAACAGGTGATACACATATTTATAAGATACTAATTGTTTTTTTTTTTTTTTTTTTTGAGATGGAGTCTCACTGTGGCACCCGGGCTGGAGTGCAGTGGTGAGATTTTGGCCCACTGTAACCTCTGCCTCCTGGGTTCAAGTGATTCTCCTGCCTCAGCCTCTCAGGTAGCTGGGACTACAGGGGCCTCGCACCACGCCTGGCTAATTTTTTGTATTTTTGGTAGAGACAGGATTTCCCCATGTTGGCCAGGCTGGTTTCGAACTCCTGACCTCAGGTGATCCGCCCACCTCGGCCTCCCAAAGAGCTGGGATTATAGGCGTGAGCCACTGTGCCCAGCCAAGATTGGCTCTTCCTTTTAGATTTTTTTATTTAAAAAAAGTTTTTTTAGAGATGGAGTCTCACTATGTTGCCCAGGCTGATCTTGATCCTTCTGCCTCAGCCTCCTGTGTAGCTGGGCTGGCTCTTACTTCTAAACATAACTTATTTAGCTCTTGCTTCCAAGGTCATAGGCAAGCATCATTCTACTTTTGGAGAATACCTTGAACTAAGGATAGCTGCCAAGTTTAAGCCGGAACTGCACAGGTTAAAGAACATTAAGGCTGAATGTCAAGAGCTGTAATGTGTGAGCTGCCTTATGTAATCCTGAGCTATGTCAAGGTCAATGATATGACACATATGCTTTTAAAAGTTAAAAAAGATCTTAAATATATTATGTGTTAGCAGTGACATATTACATCCAGCATACCCAAACATGAGTCATTAATGATCCCCAGCTGCATGGAATCTGCCTGGGCTTTTGGTTAGTTGTAGGGTAGTTTGGTGATTACATTCATTTAACTCAATTGTTTCAGATCCCTTCCTCTTTTATGCTTCAACCTCTAAAATATGTTGCAACAGAAAGCAGAGAATGATCTAACAGGTTCATTTTAGAATCAAGATATCACTGAAGGAAATACTTACATGCAACCCTTCCCTGCTCCAGTGTGAGTCCTTATTCTGTAACAGACACCAGAGATGTGGTTTTAAAAGATATCAGAGATATGTTATGGTGTCACTTTTGTTAATGAAAATAGGCTGAATTCATATCACCCAGATTACATTAATGATTGGCCTGGTATCCAAAGTACAGGTTCCAAATTTGAACAGAATATGTTTATGGGGAAATGAGGCTCACTGGGACCAAATACTGATATAAAACTCAATGTTCTATATGTTCTATTTATTAATCATCACTGTAAACCCAGTTTTTCCAATCCCAGTTCCCAGTTCATGATATTCTGCCATGAATTAAAATGCAGATGAAAGATCTATTATTAACCTTATTCTCAATTTTTTTTCTTTTTAGTTTTACTTAACTTTTATAATCAATATATTATGAAATAATTCATATGGGTTTATAGAATACCTTTCTTAAGAAAGACAAATAAAAGACAAAGAATTTAAAATGTAAATCAGATTCATTAAAATATAACTCAGATGTTCCCAGGTGCATAGTGAAAAAGTTTATTTATGACAGATTTCAAAACTCAGAAGAGATGACAAAGAATGCACAGAAGCATCACAAAACTGTTACATAATATAAAACACAAGAACTGAGCTATTTAAAGAACCACAGCTCAGAATCATCAGTGTAATCGCAGTAACACACTCAGTGCCACAGGATGATAAAAATGGTATTTTAAGAGAAAAACCACTCAGCAGGATACAGAAGTAAGTAACAATTTGGTAAGAGCTCTTAGAAATCACGGGAGATGTTAATAGCATTGCTTATGATAGGGGACATGTGAAACAAGTTGACCGTAATTAATGATTAGTTGGGATGCTTTTGTATTTTAAAGAAAAAAGATAAAAGAGTGACAGTTTCTCTTCCAGACCCCTTTTTATAATGTCAGCAACAGTACATGATATAGAACAGTAAGGAAATAACGTCTTTGTGGTTGCCAATTGCTTAACTCTTGATGAAGAAAACATGATCATGTTTCAGTCCACTGATTGATGTCCACTGAGTACATGGCACCAAAGAAGGCCCTTCAGAAACAAGTTAAATGGCATAAAGTAGTTTAGAAAATCTTCAAGCACCTCCCTTTTTTCCAATTACCCTTATCCAAAGTCTGGCTTTCTTATAATCCATCACTTGGATTACAAAACAGCTCTCTTCTGGGAATTTCAAAACACTTCCCATTATGTTAAGGGAAAATGGGTACACCAGAGTCATGGGTTACAGAATCGCCTTCTCCAGACCTGACTTCTCTTTAACGTGGCTAAGTGGAAATAATTTAGTTGGATTAAATGAAAGCTACTTCACTTACGGAATAATCTCAGGAGACATGAGTGAGGTTTTTCATATGGAGTTCCTTAGTAGCATGTACTGTTTAGGATATGAAAGAAGGAATTAAGATAATGTTTTCCAGATGACTCTTGGCCCAATCCTAAGAATCAACAATAACAATCAATAGCAAGGAACATTACACATTCAACCCTGAGTGATGAAGAGAGTTCATTCAGGAAGAGAGCCCCTTAAACTCTGAATTAAGGGCTCTTTGGTAAGATCATATACTATAATAGTTCAAACCAAAACTTCAGAATGGTTCATGATCCTATATCACAACTTTAGAAAATATACTTTGTCCTCTGGAAGTCATTTCACATATATTATTTTACCCCCAGATAAGCTACAACTACCTGCTTAAAATGATTTTTTTTAAAAACTATGGAATTAAATAAACATGCATCTCTAGATTTCTAGGGCAACTTTTCATCCTCTCTTAGAATGAAGAGCCATGACATTAACTCTGGTCCACATACCTGAGGCCTAAAAGATATCAAGGTACATATAATAGGAATCAGATCATGAGCCTGATTTCAAAGCCAGTGTCTTGCCTTTGGACTCCGTGTGTGAGGCATGCCTATTTGTAAATGAGTTCCACTATCACAGGCTTTAGGCAAAAGTGTTTTCTTAGCTTAAGAATTCAAACAGGAGGGGCTTTGTTTGGCCTTCTTGGTTTAGGCAGGGATAACAATTG